GGGGATTGCCGCCACGACAGGCACCGGAGACCTTACGGCCGCAGCTTTGGACAGCCGCGCCAACAATGGAAGCGGAGAACATAGTCCACTCAGACTCAATGTCTCCAGCCTCCCTCGGGACTTGTTCAAAGCTCTCCCGGAGGTGGGAGTTGAAGGCCCCCCTCACCGGGGATTCCGCCAGACGTTCCCAACAGACCCTCACGATACGTTTGGGTCTGCCAGGTCTATCCAGCTTTGCCCCCCGTAAGCGGAGCCAACTCACCAGCAGGTGGTGATCAGTTGACAGCTCAGCCTTTCTCTTCACCCTAGTGTCCAATACATACGGCCAAATGTCAGATGACACAACTACAAAGTCGATCATTGACCTCCGGCCTAGGGTGTCCTGGTGCCAAGTGCACTGATGGACACCCTTATGTTTGGACATGGTGTTTGTTATGGACAAACTGTGACTAGCACAGAAGTCCAATAACAAAACACCACTCGGATTTAGATTGGGGAGGCCGTTCTTCCCAATCACGCCCCTCCAGGTGTCACTGTCGCTGCCCACGTGGGCGTTGAAGTCCCCCAACAGGACGATGGAATCCCCAGGAGGAGCACTGTCCAGTACCCCTCCCAGTGTCTGCAAGAAGGCCGGGTATTCTACACTGCTATTCGGCCAGTGTTCAGGCACTCGCCTGCGAGCCCCAGCCCCGGGCCTGGCTCCAGGGTGGGGCCCCGGTGACGTCAATCCGGGCGACGTGAACCTCTTTATTTATTTTCTTCATCAAGGTTTGAACCGCTATTTGTCTGATCCGTCGCCTAGGACCTGTTTGCCTTGGGAGACCCTACCAGGGGCGTTAAGCCCCCGACAACATAGCTCCTAGGTTCATTCGGATGCTCAAACCCCTCCACCACGTTAAGGTTGCGATTCAAGAAGGGGTAAATAATCGCTCATTTTTAATATAAAATCCGTTTCGACGTTTTGGACTTAGCCAAACTAAATACGTTGCGTGCTTGTAAAAAAACAAAAAAAACTTAAATACAACAATTTCGAAACATTTATATTAATATTTTTGATGGGCACCATAACTCACATTACAACTGTGGTTGATGAACCTCGCCAAATTCCCGCACTTGGTGGCGTCAATGATGGTGTCCTGGTCAACCCGGAACAAGTAGCTGCTCCCTATGCCCTCCTCCTTGTACCGCTGCTCCCTCATGTCGGCGATGACCTGGGGCAGAAGAAGAAGAAGACAGGAGTGACTGCCTTGCACCCGCCTCACCCCAAGAACCAGAGGGGTGTGAGGTGTGGGTCACCGTCTCACCTGTCTAATGACCTGACCGACATATTCTATCACCATCTCGTGTGCTGCGATGGGCTCCATGGCGAACAGGCCCCACTCGTGGATGTGACTGCGGCTGAAACAAATCCTTTTTTTCCGAAACTTAAAAAAAAAAAAAGAAGATAAATGTCAAGAAGAGACGAACGACTTTTGTTACCAGAGCTCTGTTTCTAACAACAACTCTTACCTTCAGTTGGTTGAACTTCACTAGATCACTGTCACAGCTGAAAGAGGACAGCAGGCGGCGCTGTTCGGACCTGAAGTCCGATCCAGATCGCAGTAACGAGGTCTGCTGCTGTTGGTAGAAGAGGATTTTTTTTTTTTAAACCTTCTAAAAAAGAAAAGTATGACGTTTTTTTTTTTTTTTTCCCTGTGAGTCACCTGACTGTTGGTAGGGGGCAGCAGCGTGTCCTTTTTTGTGTGTCGGAGGTATTTAAGTTTTTCTTTTCTGCTGATTTTGTAGAAGCCTTCGCAGCGAGCGCAGCCGGTCCGGTGGATCTGCGTCCAGTGTTTGTGTTCGTCACTCGTCTCGCTCACGACTTTTGTCAGTGAACGACAAGTTAAAGAAAAAAAAAACCCAAAACTTCATGTCGTACAAAACAATACTTAAATAAAATGCCCCAAACATCTCATCTCCTGTCAGGATAACCGCAGTTTGGTCTTTCTCCACAAACATCTTCTTCTTCTAGGTGTGTCAAACGTAAGGTTCGCGGGCCAAATCTGGCCATGTATTTTACGCGTCCCACCAGATCTTCTCTAAGGTCTGCACTAATGTGTACTAGATGGCAAATACTGACAAATACTTTGTGTGTATTACAAATGCTTAACAGGTAACTCCACAATTCTAATGTACCACTTGCATAAACTACATATATTTTTTACATATACAGTATATGTGTGTGTGTATATACACTATATTACCAAAAGTATTCGCTCACCCATTCAAATGATCAGAATCAGGTGTCCTAATCCCTTGGCCTGGCCACAGGTGTATAAAATCAAGCACTCAGGCATGCAGACTGTGAAACAAGACATTTGTGAAAGAATGGGCCGCTCTCAGGAGCTCAGTGAATTCCAGCGTGGAACTGTCATAGGATGCCACCTGTGCAACAAATCCAGTCGTGAAATTTCCTCGTTCCTAAATATTCCACAGTCAACTGTCAGCTCTATTATAACAAAATGGAAGCGTTTGGGAACAACAGCAACTCAGCCACGAAGCGGTAGGCCTTCCCGACCAACATCAGTGTGTGACCTCACCAATGCACTTTTGGAAGAATGGTCAAAAATTCCTACAAACACTCTCCTCAACCTTGTGGACAGTCTTCCCAGAAGAGTTGAAGCTGTAA